AACATTCTCCCTCTTCTGATAATTTCATCGGAGTCATAGAGAGTTTGTTGTCCAAGTGGTTTATCGTTTTGGTAATCAAGTTGTATCACAAATCATCATAACGTTGGCTTGTCCCAATCGTTGGTTTGTTTAAATCGATGTTTGTTCGTTTTTGTTTAAATCGTGAGCTTGATATCCATATCGAATGTTTTACAAATCATGACGTTGATATTATTATCATTTTTCAAAATCATTATTATCATCAGTAAGTTGCGAATAATAAGAAATAATAGTTCATCAAAATATAAAATTAAGTGAAGAAATGATAAATCAATAAGATTTGTTATATTTTTAGCGTTTTAATTTTTCGCGTTTTAATGACTTTTATTTTTTCGCGTTTTAGTGTTTAATTAATTTTTGCGTTTTAGTATTTAATTTATTTTTATTTATTTTCAATCTCCGAGGTTAAAATATGCAAATAAAATATTATTCACATTTCCCTCTCTTTAAATAAAAAATTTAAATTTCACACCCTAGTTTTAATTCAAAAAATTCTTCATAAGATAATTTTTAGAAAATGATCTCATCACATCATTTAAATATTTATCTAATCTTCAAAAGCTTTATTTCAAAAACATTTTTATCATCATTATGATTTTACATTTTAGTGATTTTAAAAATTTATAACATGCCTTTATCCTGGCATAAAATCTTAATTTTTAATAACTTTTCTTCATACGTGGATTAGAATAATAAGTAATCATCATTGGTCTCACAAAATAGAATTCATAACCTATCGTTCAACTTCCATATCAGTTCTTTCTAGGTTGTCACATTAGGTTAGGTGCTGGTTATCATATTCCAGTCCAACATCCAGAGCCAGGACACCATGAAGAAAGAAGCTTTTCATGAAAGAACGTGCTAAGGTTTGATTCTTGGTCATCGCCATAGATTAGGCATTGGTATCAATAGATTAGGCAGTCACAATAAATAAGGTAGTCATAATTGGTAGTCATCTCCATAGGTTAAGCAGTCTCCATAGGTTAGATAGTCATCTCAGTAGATTAGGCATTGGTCATATCAATAGATTAGGCAGTCACAATAGATAAGGTAGTCATAATAGGTAGTCATCTCCATAGGTTAAGCAGTCACTATAGGTTAGATAGTCATCTCAGAAGATTAGGTAGTCACAATATATAAGGTAGTCATAATAGGTAGTCATCTCCATAGGTTAAGCAGTCTCCATAGGTTAGATAGTCATCTCAGAAGATTAGGTAGTCACAATAGATAAGGTAGTCATAATAGGTAGTCATCTCCATAGGTTAAGCAGTCTCCATAGGTTAGATAGTCATCTCAGAAGATTAGGTAGTCACAATAGATAAGGTAGTCATAATAGGTAGTCATCTCCATAGGTTAAGCAGTCTCCATAGGTTAGATAGTCATCTCAGAAGATTAGGTAGTCATCTTTTTCTAGTCCACCACCCAGAGCCAGGGCACTATGCAAAGAATAAGGATCTTAACGATATAGCGCGAGGTTCGAGTCAGTAAAAATATATTTTATTAACTAATTTCTTTTTCTTTTCTTAAGGTATATATACATTTTCATAAATATAAATTAGAATACAAACGAAAAACAAAAAGTAAATATATTATAAAATATAAAAAGTAAGGTTACGCCGAAAGTTAAAAAATTATAAAATTAAATTCCAAAAAAAATAAAAATTAGATTACAAAAAATTCAAATGCAAAAAACAAAAAGAATTAGATTATAACGCAACACAATTTATATATATAATCCAAATAAATGTCTATATAAAGTCGATAAATGATCTAAAAATTATAAATTTTTTAAATTTCTTTTTCTGTTCAAAGAAGCTCCATATTCTTTTTCCTTACCATATATAAATGTCAAATTTTAATAGTTAGTATGACATAACTTGATTGACATTAAATCTTAATTGTTAGTGGGTCATAGCTTGATTGATCCATAGCATCATTGGTCCGTCATTATCATTCTATCTTAAGTTGGTGATTAAACCAGCAACATAGTGGTTGATTGGACAGAATATTTACAATAAGTAAGTCAGTCAAATGTGTTATTTAAAGAATTATATCCAAATTTATTTTTTATTCTTTTTAACATGATCCTAGATATATCTTCCTTATCAGTCATACTCATAATCCTAAATTTCAGATGTTAAATTTCTAATCCCAATATTCACATGAGGCCTTTTATTATATGATAGACTACTTTCCCCCTTTCTTTGGGTCTAAAATAATATCAAATTGGCAATCCATTATTTATATAACCTCCAAAAATTTTAAAAATAAATAATATTTTAATATTATCTAATGGCCCCATCCATTACCCTCTTTATATATAAATCTACATTTACACATATAAAATCAAAATATTTTTATTAATTTACCTTATCTATATAATAGTATAAATATAAACTCTTCAAATTATTATTCTTTTTAAAAACTAACTATTTATGATCCATTCTTGATTTTCAATCCATTTTTAGCACATGTACAATATGTAACTTTACTTATTTTTAATCCTAACTTTCATATCTGCTGGGATTTGCTAATTTTTATTTCATCACATTATTTTTTATATTTAATTTGTCAATTCTTCATTTTCTATATTTCACACCCATAATTTTCATTTCATCATTTTTATTAAACATAATCCATAATTTTCATCTATTTTTTTTAAAAACACTAACAAAATGTATCCATAATTTCCATTTCATAATTTTTTAAAATCAGATTCCTTTTTTTCTTCACATTATACTTCAAAAAAAAATTTATTCATGCTAATTATAATCTCATTATTTAAATATTAAGCAATCTTTTCTGTCCTGCATTACGTGAGGTCTTTTTTTTCTATGATGGATACGTCTTAATGTTTACAAAATAAAACTATTATCAAAACACTGAGTTTAAAAGTTAAAATCAAAGGTCTCTGGTATATAGTAAAGATAAATTAAAATATATTAAATTTTATTACCAAATTTCCATTGTTAAACGAGAGGTTAAAGACTTTCAATTATTTATTCAAATTTTATAAGACGGAGAAAAATAATTTGTTTATAAAATGACCAATTTTTTTTAATTTTTATTATAATTATAAAATTGAAAATTTATATTCATGAAAAAAACAATTTTAAAAAATTAATTCATTTTCACGCCCAATCACGCCCGACAAAATTCTTGGGAAGACCCGTCTCGCCTAATAATTTAAATTTTTTAACACGCCCTGACCCATCGTGTCACGCTTAATTTCACTTCCTGCACCCACCTCTCTTCTAATTCGTAGTTTAATCAAAAATAATGTTTTTTTCGATGTTTTAATAATTTGCAAATTTTTTTAAAAATGAATATTAAATTTTTCTGAATAACATTGAAGAGTTAAACATGATTCTATGTTTATTTTTAAAAATAGCGAAAAGTAAGGATTTGTAATTTAGTCAAGAAAAGTGTTTTTTAGATATTTTATTAATCTACCAATTTTTAAAAAAAACCAATATTAACATTTTCTAAACATGATTCTATGTTTATTTTTGAAAAATAGCGCATAATTAGCTAGGATTCTTAGTTTAGTCAAAAATTAAAATTGTTTTTTTTTCGATATTTTTTTAATTTATAAGTCCTTTTTAAAATTAAAATTTTTATCATCATCTTGAAAAGAAAAACATAATTCTATAATTTTTAATTATAATTAGCGCATAATTTATGGTGATTCTTACTTTAGTTACGCCCTTTAAATGAATGTTTATGAACTATAACAGGCTGTGCCGATATTAAATATCGGATCGGCACCTATATTTATCGTTTCAAAAAAATATCGGACAGGATTTTTTTTAATATCGTTTTTGGTTATTTTATGATTGTATATACAATCATATAATTTGTTTTGTTTTATAAATAATTTCATAATCATGAATTAATGAAAGACTAAAATACAATTTATATGTTGTAATGTTTAAAATAATAGTTAAAAATTTTACCCTATTTTTTGTTATATTTACGGAACAAGAAAAGCATTTTAAAATATCTAACGAGTCGCATTCAGCCTCGATTTAGCCAATTTAAAAAAACCGTAACTCAAGATTTTGATCAAAAGTAAATTACTGAGGCTTATTGATTTAGCCCCCGGATGGAAAGAGGTTGAACTTCTATTGGCGAAATTTCAAGGTTGGTAATAATATTTTGGTTAAAATATTGACTAAGCCCTTTTTTTAAATCGGCTAAATGGAGCTCTTTAATTTAACAACACTACATTCATCTATAAACATTGCAAATATTTTAAATTTAATCATTAACTTTTGGAAAATAAAAAAAAAATAAAATACACTTAATCATTTGTGAAAGTTAGTTTGTTTTTTTTCAAATAGAAAATATATACAATGATAGATGGTAAATAAAATTCAATATAAATATCGTATTGGTTTTTAAGTAATATTGGAAAATATTGGATTGGTGAAAAATTTCATTTTTTTATTGAGGGTTTTCCCCATTGTTTATTTAAATGGAAGTTATTCCCAGAATTACTTATCATGGATATTTTTCTCTTGGGTTTATTTCCCCATTACTGGTATAGAGACATTGTTACTACCATCAAGTAAAGGTTGAAGGCAGATTTTTGAAAGTGAGGTATGCTTATAGATAAAAATTGTTTATTTTAATTATTCAAATTATTGATGAGATATCCTCATAAATTAATCCAGTTATAAAGTTTCTTTTATAATAAAAATTTAGGTTTTAAGAGTATTATCATAGGTTTTTTTAAAACAAGTTAAATTTTTTTTAATTCAATAATTAGTCGGGTGATAGGATTAATATACAAATATATTATTTTTTTATTACATAATATACTTTAAAAAAAAAATAGAAATATATATTATACAGCAATAAATATTCACAAATTAAATATACAATAACATTAGTATAAATCAATTAAATTTTTAGTACACTATTTATAAAAGAGAGCTCTACAAAGCTTGGAAAATACTTTCAGTAGGATGCAAAAATTAATAAATATGATCACATTTACATATATAATGTACATATAATTGTCCACTTGAACAAAAATAATTGCATATTCTATTGTTAAAAAAAATTATTTGCTTAATAAATATAATTATTGATACCTTTCCTTTCATCAAGGCTTAATTTATAAAAAATGACTAAAAGATAAATGCCATATGCCATAAGTGTTACAGACATCATAATTGTGATAATTAACAAGATTAAATAAAGGCTATTGTAATAAATCATATAATATATCTAAAATAATTAAATTACAAAAAATTTTGATCTCTGGCCACACAATTATTAATGTAATAGCAATGATGATCCCATTTTGGTACACATTTGTTACATATTCTACAGTGTTTAGTGCCTAGATCACTATACAAAAATATCAAACTAAGAATCAATTTAATAACTTACACATGTATATTACATATATTACAATAGTCATTATCAATAACCAGGGGATATAAGGTAACATCTAATATTATAATTTCCTCTTTAGCTGGTCTATATTTTAACAAGGGATGGTTAGTGGGATAAGATGTTATTGTACATATTATTATTACAAATGATATTATGATAATAATTGTGTACTAAAAAAAATTAATATGATAAAAACTAGATTAATGATTACTGTTTGAAGCAAAAATTTGATATCTCTAGGAATTAGAGGGTAAAATGTACCAATATAAAATACTATAATTAAAACCAGATAAAAGCATAAAACAAACTGACAAGGATCAAGTGGATATGAAAATCCATTTAATTTTCGATAATCACTTTTCCTATACCATGGCTAAAATAAGAGATTAAAAAAATTATAAATAGTAGTAACATTTACTTCCTGATATAGCCCTTTAGAATTTTGTTTTTGCAAATCAATTATTTTGTGATGTGGTGGGAAAAATTAAAAAACATATGTTCAAATTCTACATTAATAAATTCCACTTGGAATAATAATAAAATAATATTTGTTTATTTTTTTCAATTATAATTATAATATAAATATTATAAAAAAATGATGGATAATATTTATTGCCTTTTCCTTTCTTGTTTATAACATGTGAACCACAAGCAAGGTTTCCAACTCACTAAGCTGCTGACATTCTAAAATGGATGATTTTTTGATCTACATATGACACAATCTCATTAAGAAATTATGGAAACTATGGGAGAAACCTTCCATTCCCCAATTAAATCCTTCCCTACTTCAAAAATATATAAATTATGCCCCTATTTAGGTATAATTTTTAGCCTATAAATTTAAAATTCCTGGCCAGTTACTAGCAAGTTATAAATATAAAAACTATATATATTCAGATAGAAACATATTATTGATTGCATGTTATTAATTGATCATGATTCCCAGATTTCAAATGTGATTGAAGGTGTCATCTTATTTTATATATTTATTATATTAACCATATAAACCATATGGCTTATAAGGCGATGAAAATTTTACGACAAACGTAATATAAATAAACAGTAACCTATGTAATAAGAATTTATAGTTCTTTGTGGCATAATGTTGAAATGGGGCCGCCTGATGCCATTTTGGGAATTACTGAAGCATATAAAAAGGATACAAATTCACAAAAAATTAATTTAGGTGCTGGTACATATAGGGATGATAATGGGAAGCCATATGTTTTGGAAACTGTTAAAAAAGTATTTCATTTTATGAAAATATATAAGTGATAAAATTAGGCCGAAAAAATGATGCTGGCTAATAATATGGATAAAGAGTATACCACAATTAGTGGTATACCTAATTTCTGTAAATTATCTGCGAAATTAGCATTTGGTGAAGACAACCCATATCTTAAGAATGATAAAGTAATTTATTCTAGTTTTATTTGTAATTTATATAGATCACAACAGTTCAAACTTTGTCAGGTACAGGTGCATTAAGATTAGGGGCAGCTTTTTTGGTAATTTTTAAAATAGTGCATCTTAAAAGTATTATACAAATTTTTTTAGCAAAAGTTTTATCCTGGAAATAAAGCAATATATATGCCATCACCTACTTGGAGTAATCATCCTAACATATTCAAACATGCTGGTTTTGATGAAATCAAATATTATAGATATTATGATTATAAGACTAATCAATTAGATATAAAAGGTGTTCTTCAAGATATATCAGTAACAATCTTTTATATACTTTTTGTAACTTTTTTATTTATATCATTTAGAAAATCCCTGAAAAATCTATCATTCTTCTTCATGCTTGTGCTCATAATCCTACCGGGGTTGATCCCAATGTTTATATATTTTCTTCTATATTTTATAATAAATTAAGGAAAAAGAATGGAAAGAAATCTTGGAAGCTATTAAGGATAGAGATTTATTTGTATTTTTTGACATGGCATATCAAGGTTTTGCCACTGGAGATATAAATAAAGATGCATATGCTGTAAGATTTTTTTTGGAAAATGGTTTTACAAATATGGCATTAGCTCAATCTTATGCCAAAAACATAGGATTATATGGTAATAAAAAATATTGATCAATATGTTTTATAATTTAAAATATATATTATTATTTAAAGGTGAAAGAGTTGGTGCCTTATCATTTGTTGCAAAAGATGAAGAAGAAAGTTCTCGAATAATGTCACAATTAAAAATTTTGATCAGACCTATGTATTCTAATCCACCAATTCATGGAGCTAGGATTGTTGAACAAATTCTTTCCAATCCTGATCTGTATTCTCATTGGTATTGAAAAAATAAAATTGATATTTTAAAAATCTATTTTTAAGGCTTCATTTAATTGCAAAAATAATGTTAAATATAGAAAAACACATTTTTAAATATTATTGAATTAAGAGTGGCTATTAAAAATGATTTTATAAAACTCACAATTTTATCTTGTGAATATTTTTGCACGATTTCCTATAGTTTTTCAGGGCTCTGCCAAAGGCAATCCACAAAATTTCCACAATTCTGATATTTTCAGATGATCATACAAAATTTATCTAATACTGATCCAATATTTAAATTAATTTTATATTTACCATCCATCTTTGAACCAATTTCACAAAAAAATCAATATTTTCTAACTGATAATCATTGGCAAAAAAAGTTGCTCAGGTGATTAGTACATTATTGTAAATTCACCTCATTTAACACTTGCAAGCAGTGTTTTTTGCTGAAATTGACTCATATATTTTTGAATCCTTTTTTGTTGCAATTGCAAATAACATTTAAAAAAAAATAAACATCTATATTTTTCCTTTAAAATAATTCGATTTTTTTTAAACATTGCAAATAAATTGAATTTCGTTTTCTTTTATTCATTTATTATTAATAGGATATTTATTCTCTAAAAATAAAAAAATATTATATCATATAATATACAATCATAAAATAATCAAAGCAATGGATATATCTAGATTTTTATAAACGGCAAATATCGACACCTAACCACTGTTGTTAAGTGGCTCGATTTTTAAAAATGGCACCCTATATTTTAGACTACAAATATTACAAAAACCTGGAGATTTATCTCATATATGTTGGAATGGACATCAAATCGAAATTTGGAGGTTTACATAAGATTACCTTTGGCTAAACTCTGCTAATCGAGCTGTTTGACATCATTATCTTGACCCTATATTTAATATCGGCACAACTATTTAAATTCAGTGTTATAAATGTTATTTTAAAAATGTAACGTTGTTACTTTTACATTACTGTCCGAAAAGGGGAATTCACAATCAATTTAAAAAAATCTATAATTGAATATAGAAAAATGCAAAATAATTATTTTAAAAAATTATGGCTGGGGGGTAAATGTAAATTTGAATATTAAAAAATTCTAAAAAACAGGAGATAATCTAGGTCATGATGTTATTAAAATAAGGGGATATTGACATGTGACTCATTATTTTATTAACATAAATGTCACTATTTGATTAATAAAAAATGAATCAAATCACGTGCCTTCCTTATTATTGGTCTATTTGCCTAACACTTTCTGATGAATTTTTTCTATTTTTAAAAAAAATGTTAGGCTCGTGGAAGTAAAGGGCATGGCACAACGGATAATAAATATGAGGAAAACTTTGGTCGATAACCTCTCGAAGCACTCGGGAGAAAGAGACTGGAGTCATATACAGAAACAAATAGGCATGTTTTGTTTTTCTGGCCTTACGCCTGAAGAGGTTAGTTTTACTATCTCCATTTTAGTTTTATTATATAAATTGGTTTTTTGTAAGCCCTTCGATTGTAGTACTAATTAATAAAAATTACCTTAGATAATTTACAATTTTTGATTCATATTAATTAACATATAAATTATGAACCTTGTTTTTTAACTAATTTTTCTATTTACCCTAAAATTTTCAAACTTATAAAATATATCCTAGTGGTCTGGCTTATTTAAAATACTCGATTAAGTTCAGTGTAAAATTGTAAAATTATATTTAAAAAAAAATTAATTTATATATTTTAATAGATTCAGGCCAGGTTTGACGGACAAATAATTTTTATTTTGGGACGGACTATTTTGAACAAATTATAAAATCGTCTGAGATTAGGCTGGTTCTGACAAAAAAATTTTTAAATTACGAGATAGGCTTGAAAAATTAAGCCCGATTCATATTACTAATATATATACATAGTAGGGCCCGAATCGCCCGTTGTAATTTTCCATCAAATTTTTTGGCAAACCCACCATATTTATAACTCTGCCCATAAAATATATTTTTGTACTCCAGCCTGACCCATAATAATTTTTTATGGAGGAAAACAACATAAATTTACTAAATTAACAACTTTAAATTTTCAAAATTTTGACCCGGCCTGTACAAATATTTTGAACAATTTGCCCAGCCAGGTCTGAATATTTTTTTCCTCGGTATGGCACTTGGGGCAAGCTATACTAACATAATGTATTTTATATTCTTTAAATTGTATAGGTGGAGAATTTGAAGAAGAAATTTTCGATATATTTGACCAACGATGGCCGAATATCAATAGCTGGGATTAATTCTAAAAATATTGATTATCTGTCCCATGCAATTCATTCAGTATGCAAAAAATAATACAACTTTTGAATAGATTTCAGATCAACTAGTCAATTTATTCTTTCTCTTATAATATGAATTTGGAATTTTTATAAAAATCATTGAAAAATTTGATTTCCATTTTTGCTAAATTCATAAAAGAATCGAAATTATTATTATATTTTAAGTACATTTTTTTAATATATTAATTTGTCCAAATCAAAATTATTATAGTAAATTTTAATTTTATTTCACAATATTTATTTTATTTATTTAAAATATGATATTTTATATTATGCCGTTCGGTCAATTTTTTACAATTTTTTTTATGTTATATTTATTTAGACTATTCTTAAATCTTAAATTAAAATAAAACAATTATTAAAATATAATTAAGCAAATTGTATATAAATTTGACATTTATATATTAATTGGTCTATAATGTTAGGCGTTAATATTTTTTATTTGTTTCTAGAGGGATCAAAAACTCGATTATGTTCAGTGTAAAAAATATACAACTATATTGGAAAAAAACTGTAATTTATATATTTAAGTAAATTCGGGCTTGGGAGACAATTCGGGTCGGCGTGACAAATAAAAAAAAATAGGCCTAATGCAGATCACAAGTTGAGGCAGCCTGATCTTTTGTTTCAAAAGTTTAAAATTTTCGATCAGAACTCTCTTTTTCAATCCACCAATTTATTAGGTAGGATTATTGAGAAAATTATTTCTTATCACCCTGATATGTATTCTCCCTATTTTTCTTTGTCCTGATTCCTAAGGTTCGCCCTCAAAACAAATAATCTGACAATTGACCTTTAATAATCAATTTAATACTAATTTTAGTGTCCATTCATAACAAAATAAGCAAGGCAGACAAGTATTTTTTTCATAGAGTTGAAATATTAATTTACAATAAAGAGCATTTTAAAATTAATTGTTAATCTCTTTTTTAAATGTAGAAACTATCTTCAATTTAAAATAACATGCACGCTATTTTAACATCATAGCATATAAAAAATTTAAAAAAAAGGCTGTCGTTGAGATGCGAGAAACCCCAGATAGTTGGATCGGAACAGCTGTTTATTAAATCAAATTATCAATTTTTCTAATAATTTATCATTAAGTTGCCATTCGTAGTACATCTTGTGCCAAAACTAAATAGCCTTGAAAATAGTCCTTAACGGAAGGATATTATTTAAATGTTTCTACGATTTTTATTACCATCCAAAACATCTTGCTCAATGTTTTTTGTATTTAAACTCATAAATATCTGTTTTACTAAAATAAAGTAATCTTCATTTACTTGATTATTCATGGTTAAATCTAATAGCGTTATCGTTTGATAATGTACTATTACATTTATGGCTTATTTTAATATATTTTGAAAGTATCAGACCCAATCCATAAGTTCTTAAAATATGGGCGTGATGATGTCGAAAATTCTTCATTATATTCTTCAGAGGAAAAAAAAATTCCTCGGGTATAACTAAAAAAATTCTAAGTGAGTTATTCAAGAACACAGTTTATCATTTGCTCAAAATTCAAAAATCTTCAAAGATCCTTGCCCTTTTGAAGATCAAAAATGTGAAAATTTATTTGTGAAAATATTTTGAGTATGCTCATAGAAGATCTTTGAACAAAATAAATTTGTTTTTTCCTTTGATGTTTTTTTTTAAAAGAATTTAAAAAATTTTCCTAAGTCATTTATATCAATGAAAGAGAACATGAATCAGAAATTGCCAAGTTGAATGAGTAGCAGAGTGTGCATATAGCCGTTAGGCATTTCTTTTAAAAGGCCTGAAGTCAAGTGAAATCTCCATTCATTGCATGGGATCCGTTATACTTTTTCAAGGTAACTTGGATTTTGAAGGATTTTGAATCTCATAGAACTGGTAAAAAGAAAAAATTATTATATCCATTATTTAAATAAATTTTAAATCCTAAATATTAATTTTCTAATGTTTTTACTTTAGCTTTGTGGTGAAAAAGTTTAAATGAATTGGTGGGAAATTTTATAATGGTAGATAAATATAATGCCAATGGAAATTTTTAATCTATAGAATAAATTATTAGAATATGATAAATAAATGTAATTTGAAATACATATGAGATAAGAAACAGGAATGATTATAATATATAAATTAATAAACATATAACAATTATATTTAAAAATTCTTTTGGTCGGCATTTGAAATTTTTTTAGCTTCTGTGGAGGCCCACACACCCCGCTTACTCGAATGCCAAGATTATTTTACATAAACCTTATTCAGTAAATGAAATGACTAAATTGGAGGCCTTATCTGTAATTGTAGCAATTAGCCTCTGCTATTTTTTTATAATTATATGTTCCAGGAATTATATTAAATATAACCCCTTTACCGGTTTTTTTACTTCTATAGGCATTTATATTACTTAATATTTTTTTTACTATAATTTAATAAGTCTAAAATATTAAGATTTCAATTTAATTCAGTGTATTTTAACTCCATAATCCACGACCCTACCTTCTTTTCTTCTTCTTCAAACGGCTCATTTTGAGCCGATTTTTAAAAACGGCTAACTCAATATTTTATTAGGAAAAATATTATGCAAGCCTTAAGATTTTGTTCATAAGTGGCACAAAGGTTTGAACATCTATTAACGAAATCTCGAGGCTTAGACAATATTTTTTTTGCTAAAATATTGAGTTAGCCGTTTTTAAAAATCGAGCCTTTTAACAACACTAACCATGAGTGTTAATCATCCTATAAATTAAAAAAATTATAGAATGGTGATTCGAGGTCTGTAATGATTGGATTTTTAACTCACAAGCCCACCCGCCCATGGTTCAATATATTAACATACGCTCGCTCATATAAAATTTTAATATTCCCATTCTTTCAATTTTAATAAGCATCCAATAAGAAAAATGACTCAGTTCAGCATTACATCCCTAGAAAAAAGTTTTATAATTTAGAAAAAAAATATTCAATTTAAATTACGGATAAGGAATTTATTTGATCAAATAAAATATTTGCATAAAAATATAAAATTAATATTTATTGCTATATAATTATAATGCGATGATATGAATCCACATTTTCTGGATTCAATTCTTCTTTGTTTCAAAAAACCATGCTAAATACTCTTTCAGAAGCACTAGTTGCTGGAATTATTAATACTCTATCTCATCTTGATAGCTTTGGTAAAATTTTTTTCTTGTCGTTTCCATCAATCTCAAGTGAGATCTTTAAATAAAAAGTAAAACCATCAATAGTAAATTTAAAAAAAATAATTTAAATAATTGTATATAAATTATTAAATTAAGTAACGTAAAATTTTTGCTAAATTATACAAATCAAACTCGTTATTTTAAGATTAAATATATAGTTCATTACGTATAGTTGTCTATTCTGTAACTAGTGTTGTTAAACATTAGTTTTGAGCCTTAAAAACGGCTAACTCAATATTTTGTCCAGAAAAATAATACGCAAGCCTGAAGATTTTTCTCATAGAAGGAACAAAGGTCTAGACATATATAACCGAAATCTCAAGGCTTAGGCAAAATTTTTCTGGCTAAAATATTGAGTTAGCCATCTTTAAAAATCGGCTCAAAATGAGCCGTTTAACTACACTATCTGTAACAACCTCATCCTCCTATTTGTTCTCCAATTTTGTGGATGCTATCAAATTCAAACATTGCATTTATGGGGAAACGGGTAAATCAGATTTTCATCCACTTTGATATTATATACTTCCATACAAATCAATGTGTTTTCTATATATTTTTATACTTCATTAATTACTTCCAAAAAGCGGGAGAATTTATTCATAATTCAAAAAAAAATATTTAAAATAAATAATATTAAATTTTTTCCAGCGATTATTTCATATTTAATATCTAATATTCAATAGCAAAATAAAAGAAGATCGTATATTATAATTATTTTATAAATAGATATCTTATTTTAAAAAATAGTATATAATTTGTTATTAATTAAATTTTTATATTATTTTAAGATATAATATACCAAGGTGGTGCGACAATATATAAAATCTTAATTGTTTCATAATATAATTCTGGTCCTTATTTTATAGTTAAAAAATGTTTCATTTCTAATATGGCATTGCCGTGTAAATAACTCCAGGCTTACATCGTGAGTGTCATGGCTATTACTACGAATTAACCAGCATCTATTATTTGTGTTGCTATGTAATTTAAGATTATTACCACAACGGCTGTGAGCATATGATTGCATATTTTAGATAAACAATAATGGCCAACTGTGTAGTCATTTATATATCATTTAAAATGGAAGATAATCTTTTAGACTTTAATATCTCACAATAATTTTCTCGATTATTTATCTAGCTTCCATCATGTCAGGAAGCTCTAACCACCATATAGTTTATGATTTGGATTGGTCGTTTATACTCTCTTCTTCAAAAATTGTTGATTTGTTTTAGACATATAAATTTTTCCTTATTAGTCCATTCTATAAAACATTGTCTAAAATGGTAACAGAGAGTTATATTAGTTTGATAACCTTTTGTCATTGTAAGTTGCTAAGAATTATATTATTTTATTATGGGGTTTTTAAAAGTCATTATCAATTGAGTTATATATATGAATTAAAAAATCTTTTTTATCACTTGTAATTCTTTAGATGCAATTTTTTTTTATATCAGCAATCTAAAATATTTTATACTGATAAATAGATTTTGCATTAAAAAAGATTATTTTTAAAAATGTTTTGTATGTTTTAATTATTTATATTTTTTTTATATGCAAAATATAATAAATGACAATATATGAAATTCAGAATAATTGTTTAGAGTTAGCAAATTTAAAAAAAGTATAATATACTAATATAAAACCTGGCCAAAGGCCGGGCAAAATCGAGCAAAATGAAGGGTATGAAGGGGGGGGGGGTCGAAGCCCCCCATAAAATATTTTTTAGTTGAGCCCCTGAGATTGTGAAGGCTAACGACGCCCCTGGAATTTGATATTCAAATATATTCAATATTAATAGAATTCATGATAACATTTAAAATAATTTGTGTTAAATATCTATTAATCGATGAAATTTACAACAATCATTTATAAATGATAATTATATTATATAGTATTCAAAGATGTTATAGGAGTTCGATTGTTTTTTATTAAAAGAATACATTCATATTCCATCAAATAAAAATACTATCCATAATTAATTTGCACTATATAATAATGATATTCTAATCCTTTTTTATCAAATATGAATAATATTTTAAGATAATTATAAAGTCTTTAAATTGAATTACATTAAATAAAAAATTAATTTTTGAAAGGAAGGTTCAGTTCGGTCGAAACATTTTTTGCATTCGTTCCTTTATGTCTGATGAAAAATCGGGAACAGCTGAGATTTACATCAAGCAGGACGCATGGATCAAAGCTATATTGAATCTCCGAGACAATGCTTTAATTGTTCGCTTGCCTGATGACTCTAACTTATATAATGATTATAATAAATTATTCACGGTTAACAATGCTGATACTCAACAGAATTGCCTATTAAAATCAAAAGAAAATCCAACTTCTGAGACATTGCCATTTCTAAATTACAATAATTTCAATTTAAATTATTCTAAACGTAAAATAAGAATTATAAAAGAATCATCTGATTTAGGTTTGGGTTTAAGTATTAAAGGAGGAAAAGAAAATAAAATGCCCATTTTAATAAGCAAAATTTTCAAAGGTATGGCTGCTGATAAAACAGGCACACTTTTGATAGGAGACGCTATAATAAGTGTGAATGGAACAGATATAACGGGCTTTACTCATGATGAAGCAGCTCATATTCTTAAAAACTCTGGCGATGTTGTTGATTTAGAAGGTAAATTTTACAAAATAGCATTAATATTTTAATTCTTTCTATTTTTATGTATAGTACAGTATTTGAAAGAATTTACACCATACTTTATTAAATCCTCCATAATAAATTCAATTGGCTGGACCACTTATGACATGCCTTGTGAATTTCTAAATCCAAATATTCCCATGGCTGATATTACCTGTAATTTGGATTGCAAAGCAATTCCTTTATTGCTTAGTTTTGTTTTTCTTCATAACACTTTCAGTAAAACAAACATTAATAGTGCCAGTCAAAATAATGCTAAATATTCAAATAAATATAACAATGATTATAATATTATTGAAGTTTTATCACCAGATTTATTAAATTCTATCATAATTCGTTTTGATAACTCATTCCAAGCCTTTGAATGGATGTATGACATTCATTATACCCAAAAAAATTTACTTTACAATTGTATAATTTATGCCAATGATAATTACCCAGCATTAGCTACAGATTTACCGATAATATTTATGAATTGGTTTTTGCAACAGGTAAAATTAAATGTTATCTATTTAGAAATTAATTTATTACTTAATTATTAAAAAGAAAAAGTTGTGTTATAAGTTTTAGATAATTAGTTTTGATGCCACCTAAAATTTCAGCTTAATAATTTTAAGGGGATATGCCTTGCTAATATTTCTATCATGAATATATCATGATGTTATATTTAAATTACCTAATATTCTCAGTTTTTTCCAAAACGTTCATAACTAGAGATACATCAATACTCACTCTGCTATGGAAGAAAAATCATTTACAAATTTATAAACTGATATAAAAAAAGATATTAAAGACCTGCATACCTGGAACCCGGCCTTAACTGAACCAGCATAAATGGTATTATTATAAAACTGGATTAGGCTTAAAAGTTCAAAATTAGAATTAGGAAAAATTTTAAAATCCAGGTCAATTTACAAAATAAATTTAAATTATATCAATTAATCAGTTGGAAAATCATATGTTGAAGCTTTTAATATGCATTTACTGCTCATATTTTTTATTTCCCCAATTTGCAAAACAACCAAAATTTTCTAAAATAATTAAATTTTTAGAATTTTTGGCCAGTCCAAAAAATATCCAAGGTGGGGCTTAAAAATAAAAAAACATTAAAATTCAGGCTAGACTTGAAATTAATTTTATTTTATCAAATCCAGACTCTAAAATTTTTACCTCTGCAGGTCTCTGATAAATACTTATTTTGTTATCAATCTTAATCATATCTTCATACACTATGTTAGAATGTTATATTAATTAAAAAGATGGAATCAATGCATCTCTGATAGTATTGTTATTATGCCCATGAGAATTAATATAAATTTATTAAGGGAAATTTAGGACAATTATATTTGCCTGATTTTATATAATATTCTATTTTATCAAAATCTGAAACTAAATTTTTGTGTTGGCATCATTGTTTAGTCGGGAGGGAACACAATCTCCTTGAAAATGTGGAAAAAATTTAGTGTGTCCTTTCCATAAATTCTTGAGATATATCTAATGGTTATTCTCTTTGTGATTTTTTTTAAATTTTAAAGAAAAATTTTATAAAAACAAATTTAAGAAAATATCAATTAATCTATATATTTTTAATGGGGTACATGCATAGGCTATTTTATTTTTTAATATTTTACTTAATATAATACAATTGGCTTGATTTTATTTGCTTCAAAATTAAAGCCATACTTTAAATCATATTAAAACTCCTGACTAAAAAAATTACTTAAATAATTTTTGATGCAAAATTTATCACTTCATAATAGATGTAATAAACTATTCTAAAATATTAGCCTTTTTATTATTGAGCAATTTTATAGATATGAATTTATTTAAAAAAATATATATTATTTAATCAAAATGAATTCCAAAAAATCAAAATGGTCGCCATAGCTCTAATTCTTGGCATGTGGTCTTTAATGATAGAGGGCATTAATTCATAGGCAGAATTGGGATAAAGTTTCAAACTTTCTTTTGGGAAAAATCCACTGTTTCCTTATGATTTTAAAATAAAAACCCAGTTTTCTATTGCATTAAAATTGGAGCTATGCAGACATACAGTAAAGTTAAACCATATAAAAATTTTTGGCCAATTTTGATGTATGGCAGCAAACCATACATTCGTCAAATGAGCTCCTTCGAAAAAATATCTTGATATTTAGATTAATAAATAACTGATTCAGCAAAACACTTTTACCTAGACCTTTTCTCTTTACATCCTTATCACATAGCGCTTATGGAACCTTTTAAAATATTGAGATTTAGGTCTCCTCTGGGGTTCATACTATATAATTCTTTATAATTGAATAATCAATCGAAATCTGTTTTTATCACTGGAAATTATAAGCATCCATTTGAATTCATTCCAGGATTATGATGTTCTTCCATTTATTTGAGTCTTTTTTTTGCTTTTGCACATGCTAAAAAAGGCTTAATTTCTTTGCCTTATAAAATTGAGGAATTTCTATTAAAAAATATCATATAATATAATATATAAAATGTGAAACCTATAAAAATGAATTCCATTGCAGGTACTGATAAATAATTCTTAAATAACAAAACTTATGAAGTAATTGCAAAGATACTTTTCCTATAATATGAAAAAAAATTATTTATTTTCAAAAAGAAGGATAAATTAAGTAAAATTAAAATAGATACCGGACATATTTTTAGATCAAATATATTTATAGATATAACAAAAGAAGGCATGCCCTCTAAAAAGAGGACGTCAGGTAACCCTAAATGACGATAAAGTTCGAGAAATTGAGAATTTATTAGTTATTAATAAACAAAAATATATTAAATTAAGATAAAGCAGACATAGAATTTATAATGTGAACAAGAAATATATAATAATTATTTAGCAACCCTTGATTTTTTTTATTGATATCTTTTAACCTTATGAACTCGAACGATCTGGTATGGCCATTAGTGCTGTTAAACGGCTCGTTTTGAGTCGATTTTTAAAAACGGCTAACTCAATATTTCATCCAGAAAAATATTACTTAAGCCTGAAGATCTTGCTCATAGAAGGAACAAAGGTCTCGGCATATATTATCGATCTCGAGGCTTGGACAATATTTTTCTGGCGCCGTTTTAAAAAATAGGCTCAAAATGAGCCGTTTAACCACATTAATGGCCATTAAGTTGATACTAAGTTTAATCTATCTTTTTCCAATTTTCAATATAAAATTTTTTTAAAATTTGAATGAATATATAAATAAAAATTAAGTATATTATTGAGAAAAAATTTAAACAAAAAAATAATTGGGTTGGAAAAGTTACAATCAGGATAGACAAGGATGTGCCATATCAAGTGTCTTTGTAAAAAATATTTATTTAAATTGTATATAAAAAATTTTACTTGACCTTAACTATAAGATGTGCTCACAAAAAATATATTTGAAGTCTATATAATTGAGTGTAATTATTAATTTTTGATATCATAAATATCATGAATGAAATATATTTAATAATTGCGAGTTAATTCGGTCGTTATATTTTTTTTTAAAATGCAAATAATTATAGTGTGCATGTACATTTTATCTAATTCGAAAGTAACTAGTAATAGTTAGCCTATGGCCTGACAAGATTTGAACCAACATTCACGTTTTCGAAGTCAGGCGTTTCATTAGTAAAATAGTGATCTAACTATACGCTCCTCGTATGCAAATAATTATAGTGTGCATGTACATTTTATCTAATTCGAAAGTAACTAGTAATAGTTAGCCTATGGCCTGACAAGATTTGAACCAACATTCACGTTTTCGAAGTCAGGCGTTTCATTAGTAAAATAGTGATCTAACTATACGCTCCTCGTAACTTTGGAAATACTAGTTATTTTCGATATAATATTGAAAGAGAATTTTTTTTTTATTTTTTTTTTCATATGTATTAAAACTTTTATTATTATAAATTTTAATGAAGAACCTCATTAGATTTCCAATTTTTTTTGGTAAAGAATCAAATTTAGTGTGCACGCGACTCATTATTTTCATTGTAACATGGTTGAGTGTTAATGCCGTTTTTGATCTGATTGGCTGTTTTAAACTTACTCATAAAATAATTGTTAATTTATATACACAATATTTTATTTTGGATACCCGTATTTAAATAAAGATTTTATAAATCTGTATGACCTTATTGGCATGCTCTTATACTTAATTCCTGTTTGGAGAATAACCTAACGCTCCGACTCAACTTACCTCAGGGTGGTATTACGGAACTCTTTTCATTGTTGTCTATTCTAATCATAATCCGACGCTTAAATTAAATTGAATCTTTATGATAAGAACTACGTGTAGGGATCACAATTCCGTGATCAACATGCCAATACTATTCGTCCATCGATGATTCCTCTATATCTCTAGTCCACTCACATATGAGCTAGCCGGCGTCCAAAATAATATAACTATGATATTCATCGTCTCCCCTATTAAATATTTTTTTAAAAATAGCAAAATAGTTCTACCCCTCAAAAAGAATCTGACCTTTTTTTACTCTACAGAATTCTTTTCCACTTTACCTGTAACAATAATAAAAACGAATATTGTTATTACTTTTAAAAAATTATCTCATCTTACCATGGATTCATAAATTTTTATCGAAAATAAATTTTCTTTTATGAATTTCCTGAAAATAAATCCAATATTTACGTAAATCAGGAAAGAAAAGAAAAAAAAACGAAAAGAGAAATATAAAAATCGAAGAATAAAAATTATTATAATTAAATCAAATATTGAACAAAAAAAAAGATGGATCACGAAATGGCGTTACTTATTTGAAGGGTGCTATAACATTTTAAATAAAGTTATAAATTGGGTATGATAAATTCATGATCATCTGCACGGGCCTAATTTTTCAAGCCCGGCCCCGAATTTTATTTGTTCCTAAAAGCCCACCCTCAATAAAAAATTATTTAGCCATGCGGCTCACCCCGAATTTATTTAAGTATAGAAAAAATTACTATTTTTTTTAATATAAAAAATATATATCCTACAACAAAAAATGCTCCTTGTTTCTTGCAGGAATTTTATAAAACATTTTTATTCCACAAAATATAGCGATAGCGTATTTGAAATTTTAAGCACAACCCAGCCCAGTTCGAATCCGAAATATTATTAAAAAATACTGGCCAGGCCGGGATTTGCAGATTGTTAAAATATCTAACCTTTAAATTGAGATAATTCCGTTTTAAAATTTTACGATACATATGGTGATATATAAAAATATATTCCATGCTGTTGATCAAATATAATTATGTATTTCGTCCTAATAAAAAAATGTCTAGACATGAAAATATAAATTAGCATCTAGCAAATTCTGATATAATCTTATTTTTGTTTCCAAAAACTATCAAAATAGTTGATTCCAGAATTCTAAAAAATTTTCTATCAAATTTTTTTTTAAAGTGATTTCATTTAGAAAAATTTTTTATGCATGAAAGTTACAAAAGATCTTGGCATTTTTAGGTAAAATTTGATCAAAAATAAATCTTCAAAGATTGTTCAAAATTTTTTTAAGAATTTTTTCAAACTCTGATTCGCTTTAACATGACAATATGTTTTTTTCTCTCCCCTTACCGATATAAGTTGTTATAAAAGAAAAGGTTGAATATATATTTATATCATTTTTTTTTCAAAGCAAAACGCGAACGCCAAAATTTTATCGCCTTAATTCGATGCAAGGTGTCCAAAGCTGATTTTTATTAATATCATTTTTATAAAAAAATTTTAAAGTTCGGTTCCTAAATTTAATTTTTTGATTGGACAGTTTGAGATCACTGACCAAACATACCGATTTATGAGCGAATCGAATCCGGGGTAATTGCGGGGCAGGTTCAGACCTATTTCAGAAAATCGGTTATCGTTTAAGTTCCTGTTCATAATTTTTTCTGAATAAAGTTTAAAATTCCCCTGACCCCTAATTCGGGTACACAACCCTGAAATAAAATTATCTTTCAAAATCATTCATTTATTCTCTTCCTTTTTTTGCTCTCACTTTTAATTATTTTTTTTATTATAGGTCAAAACAAGCAGCGGTTCTTTGATATGGAAACCCGTGTTCCTAACCCTAAACGAGAAAGATATAAACGCTTATGATAAGGTTCCTTGGGTTGAAGAAGATTGGGCTCGACCTATTTACACCATTCCATTGCTATCTTCCAGGTTTTCTTATATGCTATAATCTTAAACTCTACCCTTTTCTTATCATCACTTATCTCATTTAAGTAACTTACTACGAAATTGGGAGTTAATATGTGCCTAGATCGGCATTGTCCGAGCCCATCCTTCAAATCGGTTAACTTGTGAAATTTTTCAGGCCGTTTGATCTGTATAAAATATTCTACAGGCTCAGCCGGAATATTTTATAATTATTTTAATAAAGATTTATTATTTTTACTTCTCAAAAAATTAGGCCAGGCAACTTGTACATTACTGGCCGGGTCGGAAATACTAAAATATTCATTAATATCAAAATCAAAACATTTAACATTACATATATTTATTTTATCAATATAAACTATTTTATATAAAATAAATCATAAAGAAGCGATACTATCCTAGCATATTAAAATAGAATTAAATTTTTTATAAAAATATAGCTCTTTTAAAAAAAATTTAAAAAATTATTTTATTTGATAAAATTAAATAAATTAAATATATGGACGTTTATAGCGACCAATAGGTTTTAATTAAGACTTTATTGGTGAAATTTAAGAAAATATCTAGATGACTTTCTTTATTTAATTTTAAATACCTTTTAAAAATGTTATTTTAAGCAATCTCTTGTATCTTATTCTATAAAATATGAGATTAGTTATTCTGTCTATAATAATATTTTTCTATATATTAACTCTTTACGAGATATGCCTACTAATGAGTCACGTTCTCGTTTTTATAACCTAACTTAGGATATATATTATTCCCGAAGCCCGACTCAGGTTGGAACTCTGGTATTGAAAACTTTTTCTCGGGGGCCCGACTCAGGCCCGAAAATTAAATATTAGAAATATCCTCGATTATTATTTTGATTAATCGAAATGTCAATCAGAATTACATCATTTTTCATTTAACGCATTTCACTTATTCATTTTCATAATTTCCATTTCCAAAATTAACCACATCATTGCTTGAAGCCCTGATAAACTTGATTCATCATTATTTAAATTTTTCATATTGTGATTCTATTCATTATTAAATTTAAAAAAATGTTATACTTGGATTTGCAACTTTATGACAATTGATAGCCTAGTTAAATATATTTTTATTTAAGGAGACAATATCTTGTGAATAAATACGCGTAATTTTTTAATTTTTCCATAGATATTATAATATTTCAACTCAATTCCAATTTTTTTAAAAAATCTTGCTCTTGTCGGACTCGCGCAAGAAAAAATTCTTTTATAAAATTTTTATGTTTACTTAATTTACAAAGATCTGCAAAGCCCGGCCTTCCTCAAGTTATATATGATATGATCCATTAACAAATACACAATACAGATATCAAATACGATTGATTTATAAAATGGTTGTTTAAAAAAAAAGATAGCCTTAGAGGAGAGATTAGAATCCTTAATTGACATTGGGAAAGAATTAGATATAGGTATTAAAATGGGTGGCCGGAAGATTTTTCGTAAAATTCTGACGGTCCTGATTTAATTATTTGTAAAATATTGGGTAAATTTTAAAAAAAAGCGGGTAACTTGTGCAAACAAAAATTCTTAACGAGCCGGGCTTTACAGAGTTCTAACTACCAATCAAAGTTGGCCAATCACCAATTTTCAAAATCGTTATTTTTGTGTAATTTTTAATTACATTTATTTTATACCTTATTTCATTTCAGTTTTTCTAACAAAAAAATTAACCATATTTTTTTTTATATTTATAATACAACTAATTAGATTATAGATTTTTTTTTTTAAATGATAGCGCTATTGGGGGTAACTATTTAATTATTTCTCTATCTTTAACAGACTAAAGAGAATTAAAATCAAGGGGAAATATTTTAAACATCCCTCCAAATTATCTAAAATTTAATGAAAAATTTTGGTTTTTAAAAAAAGAAGAATAATAATTATATAATCGTGTAAGGGTATTAATTCTTTTATAATTTCGAAAAAAAAATAATGAAGTATTTATCTATTATAAGAGATATTTTAAATAGATCTCCGAATTTCCGCTTAGCGTGTTCTACCAAATTTTTCCAAAAGTTATATCTAACTCCTACCTCATTATATTTTTTCTTCTTTTTATTTTGAAAAAAATGGTTATAATATAGGGATCCCTTATTGGCAATTTTTAATTGGCATATTAAATTTTCATGTCCATATTAACCTTTTTAAGTTATTACAATATCTGTTATAACTTGATGGGGAAGTGGAACAAAATTCTTTTAACAAATCGTCTTTTTTTCCCTAGGTTACCGTCCTAATGAAAAATAACTCCCAAATGGCGAAAATGATAAATGACCAATTATTCTTTCTAGGTATGATTTATGAATCCGTTTATGGAAAAGCTTTTAAAACGCCTATAAATTGAAATTACGAATTTTCCTTTTTTTTATTATTCCTTCTTATTATAAAATATACAAAATCGATAAATCATTCGTTATTTATTTGGATTGGGAGAGATTTAAAAGGAATAGTAAATAAGTTTTTTTTATAATACAAGTTAAACTTTTGTCGTTTTGGGGAAACTACAATATTTTTACCAAAATTTTTAAGCCTCCCGCCAATTAGACCCTAGTAAGTCGCAGGGATATGAAACCCGAATTATGGTTCAATAACATAAAACTCTATTATGTGAATTTTGATAACAAGAACTTAATCGAAACCAATTTTCAGAAAGAAGCCCGAACCCGTGTTCTGTGAGCCCATAAATCCGTCTCGGTTTCGTGTGTGGTTTATAATAATTGGGTTTAACAACTCAGGTAAGTCATTCCGATTCAGTTGGCTCTGTATTTTGCTTTTTTTTAAATTATTTTCTAAAACTTAAATTTTATTTATACGTAATCTATATTATTCCAAAGACTATTATAATCTAGAAATTATTAATTAGTGTACCAATGTATTATTTCGGGCACCTTATATATCCGCATATCTCTGGTCGACTCATGAAACATCTGAGCTAGCCGGTGTCCAAAATAATGTAACTACGATATTCCCCGTCCGATGATGTTCAAGCAAGCAGAATTATTTTTCGCTAATTTTCTCATTTTACCGTGGATTCATAAATATTTATCGGAAATAAATTTTTAAGAATTTCCTTAATTGAAAATAAATCCAATATTCGCGTAAATTAGGTAGAAGAAGAAAAAAAGGAAAAGAGAAATATAAAAATCAAAGAACAAAAATGATTATAATTAAATCATATATTGAAGATACTGATTTGCAAAATAAGAAGAGGGAACACAAAATCAATAATTTAATCACTTACCTTTTTTTTGAAAGATCAAAATTCACTCTTTAAAGAAAACGTGCTAAATGAATGAATGAATCCTTTTTTTTTAAAAAAAACAACTAATTATTAAAGTCAATCAATTAAATTTTAAAAATTCTCTTAGACAATGTTAAATATGTGTGATTGCGAAATGTATAACGGACCAGGCTATTTTTTTTTTCGATATTATGCTTATTTTTCCTTTTATTTTGTTAAAAAGATTTTATATATAATAATCATTATAACAAAATATGTGAATTTCTTCTTTTTTTTCAAGGACTGATGAATGAATGAATTAAAGTTTTCATATCGATTTAAGTATTTTCTCTTGGCGTTATGGCTTGTTAATATAATATTTTTTAAAAAATTATTTCCTTAAAAGTTGTGAAGGTCAACCAGACCTGCTCAGATCTTTCCATAATTCTAAAAAAAAAAATTAAGTAATTAGCTGCATTTAGATCGAAATTTAAAAACGAAATATATTCTAGTCATTTTGTTAGACAACAGATTTTGTAGTTAAGTTAACATTGATCTAAATCGAGTTTCAAGTATTTTTGAATGGTTGAGCCGTCGGGTATGAGAAAAAATGAAAATAAATTCATCATAATTCCTTGGCGGTTTGGCTAGAGCTCTTATAAATGCGTTCTTGCGTAGAAATTTAGCAGTAGCTTTTTATTTTTTCTAACGAACATCTACGATGTTCAAATTGAAGGGATATTTTTAAACATAATCTTTTTTTGCGTTTTTTTCACGCAAAAAAAAAATCATTTACGCTTTACCACTTGAATTCATTATTTTTAAGATAGAAAATGGAGTTTGGTAAATTATTTATTCTCTTTAATTTTAAAGAGTTTTATAATAACGGGGAGGGGGAGGGATGAAGGTATGAATAGAGACAAGGATGTTAATAAATCTACTGAGATGGTGCGATATAAATGCCAGATTGAGATCACGAATAAATGATAAGAATCTCAATTATTTGCAATAATATTTAGTCTTGAATTGGCAAATGAAATTTTTATATTTCGCTTCTTTTGAGTTGTGGTCGGGATTGATAATTAGACATTATTGTTATATAATGGAAAATTTTATCATTTACTTTTGATATTTAGTTGTGCAACTTTTATATAAAAATAAATTATTAGGAAAATGGAAAATTTTGTAAAGTTTCTTTTGGTAGGTTAAAATTTAAATTTGTATTTAAAAATTTTCATGAGCAATTTTGCGTGAAACATTTTTAGAACCATTCAAGCCTCTTTATTTGGTTAAAATTTCAAATCTCAAAGTTTTAGTTTTAAAATTATGAGATGAAGTTACCTGCCCAGGGATAACACTACCTTCGGTCTCTCCTAGATAAAAATATGAACAATACTGGCTCTTTAGCCTCATAATAATTGGAATTTAAAATAAATATAAATTGCCCAATATACGGATAATGACGATTAATTAATAAAACCCTATTTAAATTTTTTTATCACCATGATTAGAACCTATATGGAAAATTACTCTAAGTCATTCCCCGAATCGCAAACTATAAGAACTACTCCCAATCATCGAAATTCGTCCGTGCCCAACGTCGTTATCAATGATGATTCACCCATCCTTGAAAATGCTCCTTCCGATATTAGGTACTCCCCCCCCTTAATAAATTTATAATGCAATTGTTTTACTCTAAACAAAACACAAACGCTCATAGTGAAAATGAATTTTAATTTGAGAAATCAAACCATAAGCAAATTTTAAGATAATACATAATTCCATTTCCCAATTATTTTATAATCACTTTCTTAAACGCAGTTTAAATAATCTTTAATTGAGAGTTAATTGGTCTCGCACTTATCAATCCCTTTTAATTCCAATACGACAATATTCATGTCTTCTGATCAGAATGTCAGATTTATTAACAGCCCACTATTTATTTTTCTTCATTATAATATTTATATTTACTAAACATTAAATCAAAAAGGGATGAGGACCATCGGCCGCCCCCCGAAAATAAAAGTTCTGAATCCCATATAGCCGAAAAGATTCCTCCTATGGCGTCCGGCATGGCGTCTGTTCTCGACGGGAAAAAACGGGAGTTTTATGCGCGTCACGAAAATATTCGCTTCACTTGTCGTGTTGGTACCCAGAGGGGCACTCACGCCATCCGTTACGAATCCGCTCCCCTTGGTGGCGAAGATAGCCTTGAGTGGTGTCGCACGGTTAAAGCGGCAACGCTTCACGCTATAAAAGAAGTGAGGGAGATCGTTTGCGGTAAAAAAAATAATTTAATACTCATGAAAATGATCCGATTTTTTATTTTAATTTCTCCCCCTTAAATTCACATAATTTTACAGGAATTTTAAACGAAATTCGCATTTTAATTTGCTAAAATTGATATGTTTATGGAAACATCTCTATATTTTTCAAGTTGTCTCATTTATTCATTATTATTTGTATGGGCCCCTGGGTTTTATATTTTCAGGCCCGGCCCGGACTTTATAAAAATATATTTAATTTATTTTTAATTTTTATAGCTAATTATGGCGACTAAAATATTTGGTTTTGTATAATTTTTTTAAAAATTTTAGGCCCGGCCCTGGCTGCAGGTCTCTGATTTTATTGATAAAATTATTACTTAAAAATAAATATAAAATGTGCAGTTATAATTTATTGCTAAAGCTTTTGAAATTTTTTTAGAGATATTGGTAAGCTTGGCCTGTGCAATTATATTATCTTTTATTTTGCACTGAATCATATTTCATTATTTCTATTTCAGTAATCTATTTTTATTTGACAAATTTTTAAATATAATAATATCTTTTTTATTATTATATGTATAGTATATTTTACTTCATTAATTTGAATACAAAATGTAAAAATAAGCTCATTTGATATAACAATAATGATATTTATTTTGACCCTTGAATCCGATAAAATTACCTATTTACTGGATGATACAACCACTCTACCGAAATTGTACCATATTCAGGGATTTAAATATTTTAATTTTATTAGTGAATGGACTCAAAAATTAATTAGTCAATGTCATGCAAAACCTCTATATATAGACAATGTGATTTTTGTCAGTACTTTTATCTTGCTCAATCATGTGAAAGATTATTACAATATAACTGTTATGTTAATTTCTTTAACATTTTTTTCGAAAAGCGAATTCTGGCAAAATTTAAATATTAGCTATACTGAAACGACAAGCACACAGCTCATTTGATATATTAATAACATGGACTCCCCCTAATGAAAATTCCTATCTACACCACTGCCTTGCAATTATAAGTAAGGATATCTTATTTTATCTTTTCCTAACATTGAAATATGCTATACCACATACTATTAACGGATCTAAGAAGGTTAGTAACTCACTATATATAAGGCTTGAGTGCTGCACTCTCAAATTTTTTAATTTTCTACTCAGTAATACATTCTTTTTTTCTTTCTTGTTTTATGTGAAAAAATTTGCCGTTGGCTATATCTCCTTTAAAATAATAATACTTACGAAAACAATCATTTGAACCTGTTAAATTACGTTATGTGCTTATCACATTCCATGCCTCATCTATCTTATATTCTTTATGGTCTGCATTTTTTTTGGGCCCCATAGTAAATATTGAGCGACATCATTAAACTCAAACATTCATTTCTAACTAGTTTACGAAAAACATGATTGCGAAATTTAGGTCGCGAAAATTCTTAGCCAATTTTATTTACTTGAACGCATACGTTTAATAACACTAAAAAAAATTTTTAGTCGAGTTAGGACGAGGTTATAGAAAAAAGAACCAACCCATATGATTTTTGATAATAACATTATATGGTAAAAAAATCTCCATAAGGGAAAATACACCAAAAATATATCAATAAAAATTTTTAATATACTAGAAAAAAAATGGGCTATTTTGATTTAATATTAATAACTATATTATACCACATTTTTTCCCCCTAAAAACAAATATATGATACAAATTATTAGCATTGTATCATGAATAATTTTTTATCCGCCATTTTAATATTTCGGATCGGCCAGTTCTTATAAATAGGAATTGTCAGGCCGATTCGATAGTAAAAAATCGAAACCTTAGATTTTATAAAATTCCAATTTCCATTTCTTTTTTTAAAAAAAAAATTATATAATTTTTTTTCCTATGTTAAGTTTGCACCTGGCGAAACGTCGATTGCAAGCTAGTCATAAATTGCGCTACCGGATTTTCTCTTTACCAACTCAAACTTCCATTGTCCCCACCTTCCACACCAGTTTCCAATTTTAACAGTGATCTTTCCAAAATTATCGAAGCCAATCATCCTTATGACGATAAGAATATCCACGGAAAAGTCAATCACACCAAAGACGAAGCGCGAAATAGTACTTCTGATATCTTAGGAAACGGAAAGTTAATTTGGCATTACCCGTTCCAGGCCCTGATAGCGTCTAGCGATAACGGGGTGGACACCTTAAGCTTGCGTTTCGACGAACTTCAAAAAGACTGTAATAATAGTACTAATAAGGCAAATGGCCTCCTTATCGATTGTTCCAGTAAAGCCGAGAATGTTACTCTTTGCGTGAGTTTTTTCTTTTTCATTAGTTTTTTTTTAAATTTAAAGCTTAATTCGTAAGAGATACCGGTTTTTAAAGCCTATCCAATATTAACGATTCGATAACATTACGGGGGGGGGGGTATATATGGGGATAAGATCGTTAAACCAAAAATATTCTTATTAAAAAGAAAGAAAGAAAAATTTGCATTTATAAAGCAAATGGGACTATTGATTCTCTTTTTTTTTCACTTCCCTTTTTTTGTTGTTAATTTTGATTTGGATCTCCTTTTCTTAGAGTTTAGTTAAATTTTGGGTTGACGCAGAATGGCTGCTAAACACTTAACACGGCCTTAGTAGGAAGAAGTGTTGTTAAAAGGCCCGATTTGGGTCTATTCTTAAAATGGCCCGATTAAGATTTTAGCTAAAATAATGAGTAAGCATCAAGATTTTGCGAATAGATGTCGAAGCATTTCTACTAGCTATGAGCAAAATCTTTAGGCTTACATAATGATTTTGGTTATAATCTTAAACGGGCCATTTTTTTAAATCCACCCTAATCGGACTAGTAGGAAGTATATCTTTGTTATTTAAAAAAAAAATTGGATAATTATTTACTATAAAATAAAATTATTACTCTCAATACTATATATAGGACATCAATCTCAAGTCCAATCCAAAGCCAATAGTATTTATTCTACATAATTTCTTGTACGCCAAGCTGTTGAGTATGAATGAAAATGACATTGAATAAAAAATAAAAAAATATCCACTTAAAATTTCCTGAATTATAATTTATGTTTTTTTTTGTAAAAAACAAGAGCTTGATTTTATATCATCATTCCTCTCCTGCTTCTAAGTTCTATCTATTAGATAAAAAAAATTATAAATACTCATTGACAGATTTAGCAATGTATCTTGTAGTTGTTATAACATTGTATTATCTCCTCTTTTTTTATTGACCCGACCCTTTAACACCAAAGATTTATTATATTTAATATACTATTTATTATTATTGAAGAAATATAGTAATTATATAGTATATTTTAAAATTTAATATCAAAATTCACAAATTTTAAGGTACTTTCGATAAGAGAATCTATCTAAATAATTCTACATATCTAAATATTATTAATAAATTTTTTTTAATCACTTTTTATATTATATAATTGTAAAGTTTTAAATCAATATTATAATTATTTATTTTGTAAGAGCAATTTTTAACTAAGGCCCGTTTATAGTAATGAAATGTAGTGATGTCACTCAAACGATGCGTAAGGTTGAATTCATATTAGTATGATCCGACACGATTTAACAGCTAGTCGATTTTTAAATCTGCTTTCTAGATTAATTTTCTTTAATATTAATTTTGTTTTTATTTTTATTCATGATAATAATAATTTAAGAATTGTAAATATTATTAAAGAAGAATTGATCTCTTAAATTGATTTTGAAAGCCGATCAGCTGTTAAATCATGTCGGATCCCACCATGAATTTAGCCTAATTTACAAGGTGCATAATTTTAAATACTATAGCTATGGTATCCTTTAGAGAGAATTAAGAATCTCTTGACGCGATATCTTGCTGACTATACACAAGGCCTAAGTCAATACTTAACAATTTTGCAATAAAAAAAATGATATTTATACGTTTGAAGGCATTAGCACCTTATTGGAGAAAGTTTATTTAATGCCATGACTAATCTTAAATAATATTTCGTTTATATCATTGTAATATATTTAAAAATTTAGACGTCGTCATATATATTTTTTTTATAAATCTTTTCAAAAAGTCATTCATTGTACCAATCAAAGATGTTTTTTTTTAATAGTCAAGATTAAATCTAGTGAATTGTTTATATATTTTTTTAAAAAAATCTACATTCATATTTGTATTATAAAATATTTTCCATATTATGACTTGAAATCCTATTTAAATAATAATAAAAAATTTATATATATACTGGAATTAGTTGATAATCTATCTCCAGATTTGTTGGTCGAAAAATATATATGGTTTGTTTATATTATGCGGTAAAATACATTTAACTGAGTATCTCTAGTGCAAGGATGGAATGGGAATGGGAATGTTGAATCCCCTGGAAAACCTTTCAATGTTGTAACATTTGCCCCCCCCCCCACATCGCTCTCTTTATTTAAAAAGAAGCAATTTTACTAACATACTCCATAATTATAGTTAATGTAATTATAAAATATCATGCAAATAAATATTTATTTTATATTAAAATAAAATTTCATTATCAAGTTATCATATATTATGGATGGCCTAATTCAAAATTATTTCACTAAATGTAAACTCGTTATGTTGGTAAGATTGAATGTTTTGTTACGAACATCGACATTTTTTTTCACGTAGTAGGCTTTAGTTGTTAACCTTTTATTGAGAAGTTCTGGAAGATAAAAAAGTTCTTAAATTATTGAGAACAAGTCAAAAATTATTTTATTTTTTATTTTAAAAATACATCTTTATGTAAAGGTTTGTCGAAGATTCGATATGGTTTGAATATATATATTACATGAAATTGTATGAGCATTATTAACAAAGCCTTGTTTTATATGAAGGAAGAAGAAAAATAGGCCCTTTTTTCAAGTTATTGAAAAAAAAATTATTTACAATAACGATATGATCTTAAGCCGCATTTTTAATTCGTAGATAGATTGGTCTCGACCCTGTCGATGAATGTCTAAACTAGCAGAGATTTAAAAAAATACACTGAAAATTTTGAGACAAAGGAATACATAAAAAGTTGTTATAAACTGGCCAGAGTTTATAATGTTTTTGTAGAATCGTGTTATGTCATATTAGGTATTTAAAAAGGTAAAATTATAAATAACCTCAGACACTCAACAATGCATGATTATGTAGGGTGTTAGGCAGAACTGAAGCCGACTCAATTAAAAACAGTTGTTAAAATATTTTAATTTACTAGCCGGTTTAAATAAAAGCAATAAATCAGTAATGATTTTCCAACTGATTATTTTTATCTATTAATTTCTAAAAGCGGGTCCGGGTCTGGTATTGTACAAGGTAAGTTAGGTATTTTTAAGATTATATTATTTCACGGCCCAGACTTGCCCGGTATTACATGTCTGAAATGCATCATATATTGAAGATATTTCCCTTTTGTCAAAGGCATTGTGGTTTCTAACATAATTTACTTATTGAAAATTGATCGTAAATGTAAATCGGAAATTCAAAAATATAATTTGGGGCTTTTTTGAGATGCTGCTTTGAATCGAAAGGGAAGCATATCAATGGGTCCCATTTCAATTTGATCTAATAAAATAATTACTCATATAACTTGCCAAATTAATTTAATAGAATGCTATAGAGGTTTAAGAAATATTGAACCTGTTCGCCAATCGTCTTTAAAAAAAATTAACCCGCCCAGCGTTCATTTATTTATAAAAACTTATTTACCCCTACCCTCACACGCCATTTAATAAAAATTATGGCCAAGGCCATACCAAAGCTGTTGAGAAATTGAGAGGTTGGGAACAAAATAAAAACTATATTCTATTTATAACAGAGTGTCCAAATTATTGAAAATAATATTTCACAACGCTCGATTTCTGGCTTGCTTTCTTTTGATATTTGGTATGAGCTTAGCTTATGAAATTTTTTTTCCGAAAATATTTCAAGTTTAGCCCTTCGCTTGTAGTTTCAAAAAATATTTATCGCCCCAATGGATAAAATTTTGTAATCCACCAGCCCATACCCTTTACTAGACTCTTGGCAACAAAATATTTTTAATTTGTTAACAATACGAGTGAATATGAGTTTTGAGAATTTAAATAGTCATTTTAGTTTATTATAATCCATTTTATTAAGGGAAACAAAAATTTGCACATTTATTTAAAAATAGACTAATATGATCTCCGAGTATTCGTGGATAATTATAGAGACTGCGACCTATTATTCCTAACGCCATTGAAAAAGCAAAGAAATTCACAAATATAATTTGAATTATAAATGCAGAAGAAAATTCCAATTCAGATGAAACAAGCAAAAGATAAAAATTCACTAATTGAAAACATATTGCCGATTTAATGACGATACCTTTTTTGAACTAAATATTTATAAAAATTTGGATGGCTCTTTAATACCCTGACTAAATGATTTTAGGCTCACCGCCAAATACGAGAGTTACCCAGCATTCACAGTTTCCACGAATTCGCGTAGAAGATACAAAAATATATGTAAAATAAAATTATATTTATATCATATTTTGTATATTTTACCTGTGAACGTAGGGTTATGCTGATTCTTAATAGCGGATTTAGAATCACGATTCTTAATATGCAAAAATATTGTGCACCTTAATGTATTTAGATATAATTCATTTTGCGATCCAAAATCCGATCTTAAGGCACAGCCTTAGGAAAACGGATAAAAAAATATGAATCTAATATTCAACTATATAATTTGGGATTTTGTTAGATGAAATTTTATATATAAAAAAAAATTGAATATTTTATTATAGAAAATACTATTTAGTATAGGATAATAGTGCAACTCATCAACTGAAGGCGATTTATCAATTGGATGTAATGTATTTGAAGTTAAACAAGTATCTGAAGTGAAGAGTAAGGTTAAAGTTTGAAATATGGATAAGGATTAAGATAGATTAAAGTTTATTTTAATAAAATCTATCATTTTTATTAATATGTCAAATCTGACAGGTAATGTGATTATTTTTGGCCAATAGAAATTGAAATAAATCAGCTGTTGTAACTACAGTTTACTAGAGTTGGACCATAATCGTATTATAGTAATATATTATTTGTATGTTAATATTTTACATTAATCTAATTATGATTTACGATTTATTTTTAGTTTTTTTGTAAACGGTTAAGAAATTTGGCAGCACAGAGTTTATATGTTTTTTAAAAGAAATAATTTATTAAAATATCATCGTGATATAAAATATTATTTACCTGAACAAAAAATATAATATACAAAATAATAAAAAATATCCTACCCTTGTATTCAATTTTAAATCTGGTAAAAACCACCTTTATATATTTATCATTTGCAAACATTTACTTTTCACGACCTAGTTTGGCCTTTGTTTAAGTTTTTCTTTTTAATACTTTAGAAGTGTCTATTAAAACATTTTAAATTATTTATTTTTTGGGAAAAATTTTTTTTAGATATATATTTTTTATTAAATGTTAGCAAATTTCTTCTGTTATTTGAGTATAAAGCTAGTGGAACTTATGCGTAAGTATTAAACTTAAATTAAATGCATCATATTAGTAGTATATATTGCTACAATAATTATTATACACCTCCATTCTACATAAATATATTAATATGTATAAGATGGAATTGGAATATTATCAGCAACACCAACCCCAGAAGTCCATGTTTGCGGTAAGGCATTTGCAAGAACAAATACTCCTGATTGTCGTTTGGCCTCACAAGCTATAATAAATGGTCAAGATGCTAATCCTAAAGCTTGGCCATGGCAGGTTTAGAATAACTATATAAAGTATTATTAATAACTCATAATATTAATATATATATATAGCTACATATCACCACCAATAATACCGATACCTGTGGAGGCATACTTATTCACCCGAAATATGCTATAACGGCTGCTCATTGCATAGAAGAAGGGTAAAATATATTTTTATATTTAAATAAATACTTCCAAAATTGAATATTAATAGTTTATATTTTAAAAAACTAAAATAGGACAGTGCAGCACCACGTTTACGGAGGTTTATTAGCTTTAAGCGAAAGACATAATACAACAAATAAAGGCAAAACATGGTGGGAATCACCTGTTAAAAGGATAACAAATCATCCAAATTATATTCGCGGTAAATGCGCTCATGACATAAGTTTAATGGAGCTGGAAACACGTCTACCTCTTAACGAGAGATTAAACCTAGTTTGCTTGCCTGAAAATGGAGACACCCTGAGGGTTGAAGACTCTTGTTATGTCACTGGATGGGGAGATACCGAGAGTATCACACCATATTTTATAACTTGAATTTTTTTTAACTATTTTAATTTAATTTTCCTTTTTTTCAATAAGATTTGGCATGGGCTATAGCAGTCTCTGTTTTTAACTGCTTTCCATTCTTAATAAAATAAAATATGATAAGCTTTAGTTACACACTTTTTATTACTTTTATATACATATCGGTAGATGTTCTTTTATAAAAAAAAATTTTTTTTGGCAAGATGGTGCAAAAAATGCTGCTCAAATATTGCAAGAAATCTGCCTACCTTATTTACAGCAGCTCGATTGTATTAACAAAAATAGAATCCTTGGTGATGATTTTTTTAATAATGGTCTTATTTGTGCCGATACTACTAACGGAAGATACAGAGTTGGTAAGGTAAGGTTATCAAAATATAATTTATCCCCTAAACATTTTTTCCAGCCCTGGCAATATTTGAGATTTTGGGCCAGGCCTGGTTGCTCTGATTCTAATAAAAATACGCCATTTTAATTTTTTTTAAAAGATTTTAATAATAATCTGATATTTATTTTGAAGGGTGATTCGGGAGGTCCATATGTATGTCGAAAAAATGGAGTTTGGAAATTATTTGGTGTTCTATGTGCCAATTCTCTCAGCAGAGGACAAATTTTTTTATCCAGCATCGTTGAACATCATGACTGGATTCAAAGAAACATTATATAATATTAGAGATTAGTCTAGCATAATTAGCCCATTTTGTACCATATAATATAATTATACATAAAACCCTTTGTATTGATTATCCTTATCCATGATCTTTTTATATTACTTACTTTTTCAGATTGTAAAATTACAGGTTTATATTAATGTAGTATATATTATTTTATTATATATAAATTGTCTTTTACTTTCATTTTCTATCTCATCAATTTTAATTTTTAACCTTGTACTGTTATATTTTATTGTCTTTAATCATTCGTTTTAATATTCAACTATCCTGTACATTGCTAGGCGGTTAAAAAACATTCAAAATTTATTTGAGAAAAACACGCATTCGAAGTGTAGACAAACAATAGAAATGCCTTAAATAAATTTAATAAAATAAAAATGTAGATGAGTTTATTAAGTGTCATGTTAGACTTTTAGTAACGCGCTATAACTATAACTACTTTCCCCAAAAAGTGACTTCGCTACATTATAGCTAATTTCTCGAAAAAATAACTCGTTTTTAAATGTAGCGTCGTTACTAAAAAAAACCTACAAACACAAACTAAAACAAATCTAAAATCTACCCAAACAAATCCTAGAAACTTAACCAAACTTTCTAAAAAACGAATCGTCAAGAATTATAGGAAATTATCAAATCAAAAGACAAATAAAACTACAATATAAATCCAACAATTTTATTCAAAAGAAAATTCATTTCTTTATAAAAAAAATATCCGTAATTTTTATAAAAATTAATTAATTCAAAATATAATAATAATCCACATATAATATATTACATCTAATCTTTCTATCCAAATCAACCTTATTTTAATTGGTTGATTGGCATTTCGCGTAAAAAAAAATATAAAACGTTCACGTATTTACCAATACGACATGCCACCCCTTTATGGGCTCATGGCATGTCGGCATATATATATTTTTATTAAAAAAATAATCGATATATAACGGTGTTGCATGATCAATCAAATTGCTATAACAAATTTATAAAATTTTATAAAGTCCTTCAATTTTATATAATTAATTCAATAATATCATGATTACCTTGAATATTTCAAAAAAATAGCTAATTTCAATGTGAATGATCCATTGTGATAGTGGATATAGCTATGAGAAACACCAATCCGAAAGGAACAATGGATATTTCCTAAAGTATTCAATTTCAGAATCGTCATTAATATTATTTTACACATTAACATTAAGTTGTTTTGCCGGTGATAATAAAATCCTTGTCAAATCATCTGCTACGTTTCCTGCTTCCTTTTTTTCTTTTGCGATATCCATTCATAATAAAGAATGTTCATTGACTAATCATTGATGGAACTGTGATATTCCTTCGTGTACTGCTCAAATCAACGACGCAGAGAAATATAGCCGGGTGGTTGTCATTGCTCCGATTAGTTGATTAAACGATAATTCATGAGCATTGGCTTGATAATTAACTTGACACGAGTTTGTTAAGACTGTAATCGGTTAATACGAGTTTTTTGGGGAATTTAAAAAAAATAAACAATTTTATAATTTAAAAAAAAAAATCTTTTACAAAAAAAATTAAATTAAATAAACACTTTTATAATTTAATTTTCATAAAAAAAATTAACACTTCATACACAAAAACAAAACCAATTCATGATTGCATTCCGAAACATAAACACATTTTAAACTTTTCATACTTCCTTTTACGGCATTCCACACATACACGGACCATTAAATTATAAACAAGAGAAAAAAGGGGGGAGAAAAAAAATAAAACAAAACTTTTTAATTTTAATTCCTCTTTTACAAATGTATTCCTAATACCAAATAACTCAAACACGCCGCACGTGCTAACCAAAAAAACAAATTTTTTTAAAAAAAAACTTTTTAATTAATTATATCTTTTTTTGTTTAAAAAAAAAATATTTTCCCAGTACCAATACCAATGTTCAACAACCGTGATTTATCCTATAAGGCTATGAACAAAAATCCTATAAGGCTATGAACAAAAATGTATTCACAAAATGAATTACAACTTTTCTATTCCTTTTATTTTTTTACACTTTTATTCATTTACAATACATATATTACCACAATTTCAATCTTTTTTCCTTGTTTATTACCGACAGCCGGAACATTAAACCAGTTTAACTTAACATTACATATACATACATATACTTCAATTTCTCGTAATATTACCGAGATAACCTCCTTATTCAATTTCACTTTTTTACATAAACATCTATCAATAAATTCTAATACCATCATATAATAATACATAAACTCAAACAAAAAGGTTACCGACCGTTCACGTACATTTTACTCCTTCATGCTTTAACTTGGCATAAATATATATATTTACCACTTTAAGATGAGCCCATCTCCTATTTGATCCTTTAACTTCCCATTCTCACATACAATATGTTACCTAAACCTTCATTTACACATTATATATTTGCTCGGAAACGAGTCTAATCCTTCGGGATGCACCTTCATTTTATTTATATATATATTTTCATATTTATATTATCATATGAGGTACCTCAGATTTACTCCCGCGGTCGTATATGATCATTGTGGCGCATAACTGTGCCGCCCATTTCTAATTGAATCAAATTCAACTTTGAACCTCTGTTTACCCCAACAATGCCCTTGGCCCATTTCTTGCCCCTCCCGTCAAACAAACGAGTCCATACTTTTTCTCCAACTTCAAACCTAATCTTTCGGTCCTCCAAAACTCCCTTCTCGTGACTCTCGGCCCTTAGAAAATCTAGGGGAACCCTAGTCCTCCGACCCAAAAACAATTCAGCAGGTGTCACTCCCTCCTTATTCCTAGAATTGAGGTAATACAACTGGGCCAAATACACCCCATTCCCCTGATTGCCGGCCTTTCTTATCCAATTCTTAACAATTGCTACCATCCTCTCAGCTTGACCATTTGAGCTGGGATGATAGGGCGGGGTCAAAATGTGTCGAATCCTAGACTCTTTACAAAACTGCTTGAAATTTTCGCTAACAAAGGCAGGTCCTCCATCAGATACAATGGTATCCGGCAATCCGAACCTGGCCATTAATGCCCTCAATTTCCTTACAACAATTTTCGTGGTATATCCATGTACCTCCTCGTACTCTATCCATTTCGAATACGAATCTACTACTAAAAAATACGACCTTTTATCTAAATCGAAAAAATCAACATGTAAGCGTTCCCACGGTTTTCTCGACCTGGGCCATATCTGACCCACCTCCTTCCGGGGCATCGTCGCGCACGAATTACACGGCTCACATTTCCTTGTTATATTTTCAATATCTTTTCCCATACCCGGCCACCAAACATATTCACGGGCCCACGATTTCATCTTCCCCTGACCCTGATGTCCAGCATGTAACAAATTTAAAATTTTACCCCTTAATTTGAACGGAATTACGGCACGATTACCCCTCATTAAACAATCATCTACCACAGACAACTCCTCCTTCACCTTTTTAAAAACTTTACAATCCTCCTCCCAAGTCTCTTTCCCCATTACACATAACTTTATCCTAGTCATTTCTCTATCTCTCAATGTACTCAACTTAAGATCCTCCCAATTGGTAGGACCCCCTTTGAGCATATGCGAAAGCGAACAAACCAGGGCTTTTTCACTGTTTCGAACCTTATCCTTGTTCCCTTCATCATTTCCTTCATTTAATCCTAATCGGGACAAACTATCAGGCAAACAATTCTCTTTACCGCAACGATATCGGATCTCCACATTAAAGCTGCCCACCAACAACAACCAACGTTGTAACCGGGGAGACATCATTAACTCCCGATTGTTTTTCCGAAATAAGTGAATTAACGGTTTGTGATCAGTAAAAATTACAAATTTTTTACCAATCAAATATTCACGACATTTTGTCAACCCGAAAATCACAGCCAGGGCCTCCTGTTCAATCACAGAATACCTGGTTTCCACCTCACGAAAAACACGCGAGAAAAACAATACGGGTCTCTCCAAGCCTTCTATTACCTGTAATAACGCATCACCAACTCCTTTATTTGAGGCATCTACCGCCAAAACAATTTCCAAGTCATTATCAAAACACACCAGAACTGGCTCTTTTCCAATTTTTTCCTTTAAAATTTCAAAAGCAATCTGCTGTACATCCTTCCACTCATAATGAATTCCTTTTTTCAATAAATCATACAACGGCGCCGCCACCTTTGCAAAATCTTCCACGAACCTATGGTAATAATTGACCATACCCAAAAAAGACTGCAACTCAGCCTTAGTGTCAGGCCGTTTCATGTTCGATATATTCTTCAAATTTTTATCCAAAGGTTTCACTTCAATTCCATTAATCCGATGACCCAAATATTCAACCTCCATTACCCCCAGAACACTTTTCTCCTTACTAGCTCTCAAGCCTTTATCACGAATTCTCCTAAACACTTCCTCCAAACGTTGATTATGCTGCTCCGGCGTCACGCCAGTAATTAACACATCATCCATATAATAAAATACTCCTTCCAATCCTTGAAAAACTGACGCCATGGTCCGTTGAAAAATGGGAGCAGATACGCTCAATCCAAATGGTAATCTACAAAACGCAAACAACCCCTTTGGAGTCGTTATCGTCAATAATTTACGGATTTCCTTTCTCAAAGGTAACTGCAAATACGCCGACGAAAAATCCACCTTGGAAAAATATTTCGCACCCTTCAACTGAGCCAAAATCTCCTCAATCCTAGGCAATGGATATTTAACCTCCACCACCCATCGATTTACCGTGACCCTGAAATCGGCACAAAGTCTCAATTTACCATTTGCCTTTTTAACAGGCACTAACGGAGTTGGCCAATCGCTATATCCCACAGGAATAATAATGCCGTCCTTCACCCATCTATCTAATTCCTCACCGATCTCCTTCCTCCATTCGAAAGGAACTCGCCGACAAGCCAAAAAGATCGGTGAAAACCCCTCCCTCAGTTGAACATCAACTTGATAATCATTTAAACAACCTAATTTTTCATCAAA